TTCTGAGACTGCTCACAATTAAAGTTAAGGACATGCCTAAAACAGATGCACACTGTTTCCTACTTAAAAATATACCTTCCAAAATGATAATGCCTAACACCGTCTTTGTAAAAATGCAAGCTTGACAAATTAAGATTATCCATATGCAATGCAAAAATTCCTGGACTGTAAATACTGCAGCTAACTTTCAAGTAGCAGAAAACTGTTACAATGCCACTTTGAAGATATTAATCTTCAGATCACCCAAGACACTGATGTAATTATTTTCAAGGAAAATACTTAGGTGTTTAGTTACCGCAGTGGAGATTGTGGAATAAACAGCTAAACAGCTAACAGCTAAATAAACACCTACATTATGATACAAGTTTCCACACGTAGTTGGGGGGAAGATATTTAAACCTGCCTCAAGCCTAAACAAAGATTGTCATGAACTTTCACCTTTACGCTGCCCTAGACAAACGTTTATTAGAAAAACTGTAAAAAGCTCATCTGGTTTTTTTCAAAATAAATTTTCCTTGAGGGGGTCACACTCTACTGCTCTGAAGTACACAAATCCAACGACAACAAAAATCAACACAATTACTCTAAGTCTATTCACAAGATTTGAAGGTGTATTAATTCCAAATATATCATTAAAACAAGCATTAGGCTTTTCAGAACTTGAATCATACTTTGTTTAATTAATACATCCATCGTCAGAACTGTTTGTTCAAGTTGCCTCAAATTATACCAACAAACCATATATACAAAATCTAAACAGACAGGTTTAGGGTGTCTGGATGAGGTAAAAAAGCCTCCAACAGTAATCTACATTAAGACTTAGCATTTCTCCATATTAAACTTTCAAGACAGAAACCAAAAAACCAAAGTATCTCCCTGCAGAAGAATCTAACAAGGGACGCTATTTAAGTTCTGCAATTCAAGTACTTAAATCATTCTCTCTCCCCTGGCCCCCATAGCCGTAAAACTATCCCATCATTCCCCAGAAGTGAAGTATTTGTATTGCAAGAAAGGATTATTTCAGCTTCAGCTGATAAAAGAGATTCAGTGCAATGAACTTCATTGACTACACTGACATTCAGTCAGTTTGCTTATACTGATAAGGCTTAAGTGGTGCCAACTGTGGAAGTTTTAATGACGCAAATAAAGTATTTTCTTGGCAAAATGCAAATTTGAGTAATATTACCTATGAACAAGTTAAGTTAGAAGGACATTACAGACATTGGCTGCAAAGTCAAACAAGTCAAATAAGGAAATGTTAGATTTACAGTCACCCATGCAGCCTTACTTATGCCCTGCCATGACCATCCTGTCCACTGGGAAAGATCCTGCTAGTAAAATATTTTGTAATCAGTGTCATTATGAAGTATCAAGAGGAAAAAATTAAGTAACCTGTGCATTTCTTAACTTGCAACTGTTTGACTTCACAACTAAAATATTCTATTAATATGAAGGGTTAAAAAAACCAAGGCAAAAAATCAAAAAGGATGCTAAACTATAACCTTTTCCCACCACATGTCAGGTGCAAGGTTTGAAACAAACTTCTGACACTGCAATAAACTTTTACCATGTGAGATAATTATTTTTGCTGGCTGCAGGAAAAAGCTGTTGTGCCAGGACTACTGGGGCCAAGTCCTTGTCAAAAAGTATCAGCACAGTTAACCTCTCTTTGCTTCATCCCCAGTAGCTGAGTAAGCTACTGAGGCTTGATATTTTCGGAAGGAGAAGGACAGGCCGCTGAACCTGTATGCCAAGTCAGGGTTGTTCAGCTGGTGGCATGTGAGGGGTAACTCATGGCTCCCAGGCTCCCATTTGGGCACTGCTTCCCCATTGTTCTCCAGTATTGCCACTGTGGTCTCAAGGCTCACCCTCTCTCTGCCAGCTTTCATTTCCTGCCCTCACCATGAACCGTGGAAGCAGGACAGGGCAGGGCAGCCCAGGGGGCTTCTAGACAGCACAACGCATGGGCACCAGCAACACAGCAGAGGTAGTGGGGGGCCCCTGGCCACTCAGAAGTTGGACAGCTTGTGATAACTGAGGGGAGTAGTTGGGGCAACCCAGCTGGATCCTTCCTACTACAACAGCCTCTTCCTTCCAGGCATTCCTAGCACACAAGTCAGCAGCACAAGACCTTCAGATCTCCATCTCTGACATCTATATTACTTACATTATTAAAGTAACTTTGGGGAGTTATTTTTTATTTTCTTTGTTATATGGAGGAGAACTCAACACAGTGGCAGAAAAAAAATTATGCTCATTTAGAGGATGACAGAAGAACCCTGTGAGTCACAACTCCTGGGTCTTACTGATGACTTTGGGACAGTGTTAAAACAAGAGGCCCTCCAGTCAGGACTCGGTTTTCTATTACTGGCTCAGGAGGAAGACTATTGGACAGCAGTTAAAGTAACGTTTAGACTGTAACACCAAGCACAAAGATTTGGCAGACCATTTCCACATGTATGTGATCAGCGTACACACCACATTCATCCCAGTAAGAACATTGTGCACTCTCTCAATTACTTCATTTGGGAAATGGTGTGGCTATTACATGCTTATCTTCTACGGTAATGAGAATGATAATGGGAGTTATAAACAGAAATACGTGGACAAATAAGAGATCTGAATGCTTCTCCTAGCTTCTAGATCAGCTTGTTTTCCCTTGGCTAAAAGATATTTTGATGCAACTTTTCCTCTTCCCCAAACGGTGAATGTGATTCAACTGGAACACAATATGCCCAAGAGCTCCATTTCCTGTGGGAAAACAAAATCCAACTGTCTTGGGTTAAGATGGCAGCCTCTTGGCTCGTGTGTTCAGTGGGACTAAAGTCACAAGATGCTCCAAAAAATTGCCACCCCTCACACTCTACTGTACCAGGAAATGGTGAGATTCACCTGAACCTTGTGGCATTGATTGTCAGGAAGTATCAGTCAGGGTTCCTGGGAGAGAAGCCTTATGGTTCCAGCACCAGGGGCTCTCCCACTTTTTGAAGCTCTGAAGGTCTGTCAGATACAGCAACTGTGCAAGGCAGTGGCTGGCCTGGCAGAGTAGATATAATACATGACACTGCCTCCAGCACTACACTAAGCTGGGCTTCAGAAAGACAGAAACAGACCTGCTGGCCTGTCCACATCCACAGCTATCCCTCACATCTCAACCATGTCCTCCATCTCGACAAGTCATGATGGGGCCTCACCATGCACCTCCAGGACCAAACCATGCTTCAACCTCATCAAGGAAAAGCCCCCAAAATTCCACAACTAAACTACTTTTAATTTTTCTGCATAATATTGAGATATCTACCAAATAACAAAGAAATTATAAGCTGCCTCTCATTGTATCTTGATGTCCACACACTATATGTTCACTGATTTATGACAGACTCTATTTTGTCCATAGGAAGTTCCTTCTCCCTCTAACCAGCATGAGAAAACACCAATATCCATTTACAGTGTAGCCCACATTTGAACTACAACTTCATACTGATCCTACACACACTTAACAGTGCTCAATCAAGTTCTGCACATCAATCCTGAATAATCTCTTAACATCGCTGAGGCTGTAATTAATCTTGCAAATTACACAATGAGGAAGATTAAGAAGTTGAGCCCATGTTCTTTTATTAGCTGGAGGCATAAACATGTTCCTGGTGCTGAAGAACCATATCAATGAAAATGTATAATAAGGGTATTATGGCACAGGTGAAAGGTGTCCCAGAGTTGGCATTTCAGGACATGTATTGTTGGAGGAGCTGTGAAACATGTACAATTAACCTTAACTGCACCAAAAGGAAGTTTATATTTATGCAACATATACAGTACTGCAGCTTTTCCATGCAGCCTTTTGGAGTACAAGCTTGCACCTCTATACGGTATCACCAGAGGGCAACTTGCATACATTTCCATTATTTATTAAAGAGCTACTCTGCATTACAGGACTACTCTAGCTTAACAATAAATATACTCCTGCCATACATCTGATCATGTCTGCAACCTTTTCATATTTAATTCAAAGAGTCTGATAAATAAAAACTATGAGAAGCAATTTTACGAGTAACTGAATAAATCTGCCTGTCAGTCACACAACAGATAACAATATGGAGATTATCACCAAGAACTGTAGAGAAAGCATCTCAGCCCCCAGACACCCGTCTAACCCCAAACCATTCTCTTCTCTTCAGGACAACCATGTCAACGGGGTCTAGCTACCGCCACTTGTCTCCTCATACAAATTCAGTGCATCGCAAGTAATGGCTTTAAAACAGACAGCGACCAGCGTGCAGAGAGCACACCGAGCTGTCACAAAACACATAATCGATGCATCCAGGGCCGCAGCCCTGCAAGGCAGATGCGATAAAGTAGTTAATTATTCAGTTGGCAATCGCATTACTGACGTCAACAGAAGACTCCAGGAAGTGAATCCTCTTAGTTTGTTAGCGTCTAACAAAGAGTGGAGGTCCCCTCAGAAAAGAAGCAGAACCAGCTGTCCCGTGTTGAGTGCGCCGGCCCGAAACATTCACAACCTGCGTGTGCTCTAGCCGAGCCCCCCGCTACACCCTCCTCCCCAAACAAGTCTGGACTTTTTCTTAATAAAATGAAAACAGGAATCTTTTAAGCGTACGGCACAACACAGGTGCCCCCGTATGCAGCCCACTCCTCTGCAACCACTTCTCCTGCTGCACGTCAGCCGCCCTTCCCTAGTGCTGGGCCCGCAAGTCAGCTGCCACCAGCGCTTCCCCCAGCGCCCGGGGGCCTCCGCCTTGCAAAAGGGCTTCCTTCAAGCCTCTCGCTCCCTGCGGTGAGAGACCTGTTTTGCCCTGGGCGCCGCCGCCACCTCCCCCTGCCAGCGCACCCCGTCCTCGCCCCTCCGGCCTGCTCCGCGGACCCGCTGACAGCCGCCCTCCCCGCGGGGTGCCAGCAGGCGCCGGATTAGCCCCGCCGGGGGGTCAGGTCAGGTCGGGTCAGGCCAAGGGCCCCCCTGCCCTTGCCCCCGCCCGGCTCACCCCACTCGAGGAAGTCGGAGACGTAGCGGTCCCGGCGCAGCGGCGCGTCGCGGCCACACTCCCCGCACACGCCAAGCAGCAGGTCGAGCAGCGCCTCCACGCTGAGCGCCGCGTCGTGGCG